GCTGTAGCAGAGGCAGAAGTAAGTCTATAGACAGTGCATAAACACTACACAGTAAAAGCTATTAAGATGTAGATTAATGTCTACACGCTACTAAAAACAAACTTTATGTTAAAATTTTATATTATAGGCTTTTAACAGTTTTAATTACTACTATAAAAAATTATAAAATAGCTAAAAAGGCTTAATACTAACTAAATAGAAATAATTAATCTACATAGTGTATAGCTATAAAACTATTACATCTTAGTAATAATTAAACTAGACTAAGTAAAAGCTATAACACTAGCTAACTAGTGTAATAGTATTAGAATTACAACAAGCGCATCTGTCTAGCTTAGTATAGTAGGGATAGAAGAGGCAATAGATAACATGCAGAGAGAAGCGTCTACTTAAGCTGCTACCTTATTTTTTACTTTAAAACCTAGAACAGAGTAAAACCCCTACACAGCAAAGCTAGCAGCAATAGCAGCAGCGCTAACCTCCCTTCTAACATGCTAGATAGTAGACTAGGTTATTATTCTTACTAGCAGCTAAGTAGCTATATAAGTAATATGCTAACTGCAGGATTAGTCTAGCTAAGCTAGCATTAAATAAATCTATAACACAACTTAGGCACTAAGAGAAAGGCAGTGCTTAGTATATATAGTATAGTGCCTAGCAGGAAGTAATAATTTAGTAAAAAAGGCTAAAAAAGTAGTAAAAAAAGCTATAATAAATAGTAGTATACTAACTAGACTTTTTTACTAAGTAAGGTTAATAGTAACTAGGACTATAGTAAGAAACTAGAGATAAAAAAAAGACCTACTAATAAAAGTAAGAAGATACTTGCGTAAAATAGATATAGCTTTACTAAAAAAACACACTAAAAAGCTTTATAATACTTTAACTTAGTAAAAAGCAAAGATACTAGCATAATTAAAATACTACGACAGTTTATAAATGATCTGTAAAAGCAAAGCTTGCTTAGAGCAATAGTTAGCACATTAAGGTAGGTGTAAGGCCGGATGTCCTAGAGCGGGCTAGTATAGCCTCCCCTGACCTGTTTAGAGGTCACATGACCTGTACTTTGTATATAAGCATAAATTCTAACAAGTAAGGCTTAGTAGCAATTTGTCTCTCTTATAATACACTTCTATCTTTTTTTAAAAGCTTACTTTTAGTGCTATTTATGCTACTTACTATTCTATCTTTATAGTAAGTTATTTAGGTTAAAGAATAGTTTATAATAATTTTTATAAATTAT